TAAGTTTGTTGGAAATCAAATAAATAAACTATGCAATTTTTTTTAAAAAAATTGTAAAATGATCGGCGGCAACGTTTGGGAAACATTGCGGAATTGTCGTCTCTACCGCAACGTTTGCCACGTTTGCCAAACGTTGTGGAAACGTTGCGGTATCCCTCCCATTCTACGACAACACCTGGATTTGCAACACACGTTCAAACGTTGGCGTATGCTGTTTTTGTTATAGTGTTGGAATGTATACCTCATATTGATAGTTCGCATGTAATAATATATCTACGAATGGCATTTACCCGCATTTGTTTGCACGATTATTATAATATACATATGTATTTTAGTAGTAAACAATAACAGTAAATTCTAATTGTGTCACGGTTTACAATAAGGAGGTTTTTCGGATGGAACAAGATCCAAAGTGCTGGAAATGTGCTTTTGGCAACGAAGTTAGAATGGAGAAAGTAGTGTTTAGGATTTGCCATCTCACCATGTTGAAAAAAAAAATAGAGAAATTGAATTTGTAGTCCTCAATTTATACTTGTATTAATCTTTTATTTACTATTTTTTGATAAACAAGTCCTTAATTTTTTAATTTTTATAGCAATTGAAGTAAAAAATATTGCTATAACAAGCAAGAGAAATTGATGCAAATATGCTAAAATAGATATACAACGACCATTTAGCTCTCCTAAGTGGAATTTAAGTTTTAATATCACTTTTATAACTCTTGTTTATGAAAATTACTTAATATTACTCGTCCATAAATCTTGATTGGAGTCAAGCAAGCCCTGAAGACTTTTATGTTTTTAGCTCACTAAAAATCTCAAATGCTACCAAAAGTCCTTTTGAGAAAATATCGATACTAAAATAGGAGTAACACTATGTTGTAACACCACTATTGCACAACACGATGACAGCACCACAATTGCCCAACTGAACAGCTTCTTTGGTGTTCTTAAACCATATATTGATTTTCGTCAAAGGCCATTTCACTTAATACCGTAAACAATGTGATTCTGAGAACCGAATCGTTATTTGGTATTCAGAACGCATCAATGTAGTGTTTTCTGTTTATTTCTATCATGTTTTTATAAAAAGAAGTTTCTTCTCCTGCTTTTGCCATTGCTATCATTGTGTAATGCTAGAAGAAATGTAGCACACACTCTTCTTTCATGGTTCATGTCGTGCTTCTCAATTTCTGTGTCAGTCGAATGTTTTATTTATTACAGTACCATGCAACATAATCCAGTCTCATCGTGAAGGCTTCATCATCAATTTCTCCATGACAAAGCTTATCCGGGAATAGTTGCCGCTAGAACGAATCATTATCTTTTGTTCATCTAAGAACATGTTTAGCTATGCTTAGAAAGAATTATAAGTAATTTTTTGTTTCTTAACATGTTTGGGACAAGTTACTTTTTTCTTACTTTTGAGTAAAATAAGTTACTCGAAAGTAATTTGCACCTTACAATCGACGAGCTTACTCATTTTCAACTTCGACCAATAAAATAATTTATACCTTATTTATTTACTTATAAGTAAATTTTTTTAGCTGAAACATATTCTATGGTTTTCAGATGTTGCAGCTGTTCAACTATTTCGGTTACCATTTCGATTTGCACTTCGTGGCTTTCGATCCGAGAAGGGCTCCCGTTTATATGGCATTCATTCATTTCATATATGAGGCAAGTGATGCGAAAAAGATCAATTATAGCTTCGAAGTTGGGGCAAACAGCAGAATGCTGATGTGGCAAGGAGTTCCAAGGAGCATTCATTATAGTCATAGAACAGTTCGAGAGAGTTTGGACGGACTAATTATTCAAAGAAACATGGAGCTCTTTTTCTCCGGAGGTAATAGCCAGAAGCTGAAGCTCAACACACAATTTTGAACTCTCAAGCCGCCGTTTGGCCCTCATTAATTTATTATACATTTTTTTCTCTTTTCTTTTTAAGCACACATTTTCCAATAAAATAATATTACACATAAGGAAAAAAATTTCTTTCTTTTTCAACCACACATTCTCCAAAAAAGCATTATTCCAAAAATTATAACATCAAATAATGGGGGCCAAAACAAGGCATAATAAGCATATAGCCAACAGTGTATCACCCACTGATCATGCACAAAAGCTTGCACAATGCTTGCACAAATTTGCACAGGTTGTGGGTAGGGCTGGGCAAAAAATCCGAACCGAACCGAATCGAACCGTATCGAGCGAGTTTTTTAAAATGAAATACCCGAACAGTATCCGAATAGAGAACCGAATGGTTTGGTTTGGTTCTTGGTTCTAGACC